ATCACTCACAGGAAAAATTAAGAGCAGCTGATTTGAAAAAACAAACTCGAGAGGCGGCTGAGTTAACCGCAGTGCAGAATCGCTGTATAGTTTAAATCTCCTAACAATGATGTCCATTTTAGACATAGGCTTATTATATTTACAGCCGTTAATAACATCCATTTTCTGGGCTCAATATGTGTCTTGGCCGTTTTCGTTGTGATCGCTAAATTCCCCTTGTTTATAATATTATCACCGTTCCAAGCAAACGAGTGCTTTTGTTTTGAAATCACTTCCGTGTGTCACGATCTGTCTGTGTTGTGTTTTGTCTTGTCTTTTTCTGGTTTCCTGTTTTGTTTTGAAATGTTTTCCTCGTGTCTTCTCTGTTCCTTCTTCCTGTGTTTGCCTTCCTGTCTTAGTTTCCCTGGTGTGTCTGATTGTTTGATTGTGTTCACCTGTTGCCCTTGTGTTTCTGCCTCCCTTACCCCAGCTGTGTCTCGTCTTGTGATTACCCCTCTCTGTATTTAGTCTTGTCTCTTCCTGTGTTCCCCTGTCGGTTCATTGTTTGTTTCTCCTGTCTCCCACCATGTTGGTCACGGTCAGTTTTCTATAGAACCTATGTGTTTCATGCCATGCTATTGTTCAGCTTTAGAATAAAGCTCGTTTTTGTTTCGAGACCGTTTACCTTTTCTGATAGTCTGCATTTGGGTCCTACCCTTCCACGCATCCTTACAGAATGAACCGACCAAATATGGACCCAGCGGATTTTGAAGATTTTAAGGTAGATCTGTTCGATCTAGACTTTACCCTTCAATGTTACTATGTCGAGTGGAGTGGAACCTCGTCAAGAAAGGACAAAGAGGCTATCCTCAAGAAGGCACAGATGGCGGTGTCTAACATGCCATGGCTGAGGAGCTCGTTGCCTGAATGGCTCAGAGTTTTTGCACGTAGCCCCGAGTGCCAGTCTTCATTCTCTGACCCTTTTTTGGGATCCCGTCTGGCGTTTGGAGGTCCACGGAGCCTCCAAAAGACCTCAAAGAAACGCAAGGTCAGGAAGCCAGCTCATAATCCAGTACCGGCCCACACAGCCATGGATCCGTGCACCAGTACTCGCCCACACAGCCATGCTTCCGTGTTCGATTACCTGGCTCACACAGTCAGGTTCCAGGCTTCTGTTCCATGCCCAGCAGCCAGGGTGCCTGCTCCAGTACCGGCCCACACAGTAATGGTTCCGTGCACCAGTACAGCCCCACACAGTCATGGTACCGTGCTCCAGTACCATCCCACACAGCCATGGTTCCGTGTTCCGGTTCCGTGCCCAGCAGCCAGGGTGCCTGCTCCAGTACCGGCCCACACAGCCATGGTTCCGGCCCCAGTTCTGGCCCCAGCAGCCATGGTTCCGGCCCCAGTTCCGGCCCCAGCAGCCATGGTTCCGGCCCCAGTTCCGGCCCCAGCAGCCATGGTTCCGGCCCCAGTTCCGGCCCCAGCAGCCATGGTTCCGGCCCCAGCAGCCATGGTTCCGGCCCCAGTTCCGGCCCCAGCAGCCATGGTTCCGGCTTCAGTTTCGGCTCCAGTACTGGCTCCCCGGCCGACGCCAGCCCCCCGTGTCCTGTCGGTGGTCCGGCCGACTCCAGCACCTCGTGTCCTGTCGGTGGTCCGGCCGACTCCAGCACCTCGTCTCCTGTCGGTGGTCCGGCCGACTCCAGCACCTCGTGTCCTGTCGGTGGTCCGGCCGACTCCAGCACCTCGTGTCCTGTCGGTGGTCCGGCCGACTCCAGCACCTCGTGTCCTGTCGGTGGTCCGGCCGACTCCAGCACCTCGTGTCCTGTCGGTGGTCCGGCCGACTCCAGCACCTCGTGTCCCGTCGGTGGTCCGGCCGACTCCAGCACCTCGTGTCCCGTCGGTGGTCCGGCCGACTCCAGCACCTCGTGTCCCGTCGGTGGTCCGGCCGACTCCAGCACCTCGTGTCCTGTCGGTGGTCCGGCCGACTCCAGCACCCCGTGTCCTGTCGGTGGTCCGGCCGACTCCAGCACCCCGTGTCCTGTCGGTGGTCCGGCCGACTCCAGCACCTCGTGTCCTGTCGGTGGTCCGGCCGACTCCAGCACCTCGTGTCCTGTCGGTGGTCCGGCCGACTCCAGCACCTCGTGTCCCGTCGGTGGTCCGGCCGACTCCAGCACCTCGTGTCCCGTCGGTGGTCCGGCCGACTCCAGCACCCCGTGTCCCGTCGGTGGTCCGGCCGACTCCAGCACCTCGTGTCCTGTCGGTGGTCCGGCCGACTCCAGCACCTCGTGTCCTGTCGGTGGTCTGGCCGACTCCGGCCCCCCGTGTTTTGTCAGTGGTTCGGCCCACTCCAGCCCCTCGTGTTCTGTCGGTGGTCCGGCCGACTCCAGCACCCCGTGTCCTGTTGGCTCTATGGCCGACGCCTACCCCATGTCCTATGATGTTGGAGGTCCCGCCGACTACTCTTCTGCCGGGGGTCCTGCCAACCCTATGTCCTGTGATGTTGGAGGTCCAGCCGACTACTCTCCTGCCGGGGGTCCTGCCAACCCTATGTCCTGTGATGTTGGAGGTCCCGCCGACTACTCTCCTGCCGGGGGTCCTGCCAACCCTATGTCCTGTGATGTTGGAGGTCCCGCCGACTACTCTCCTGCCGGGGGTCCTGCCAACCCTATGTCCTGTGATGTTGGAGGTCCCGCCGACTACTCTCCTGCCGGGGGTCTTGCCAACTCCATGTCCTGTCCTGTTGGGGGTCCCGCCGACACCTGTCCTGCCAGGGGTCCTGCCAAATCCATGTCCTGTCCTGTTGGGGGTCCTGCCGACACCTGTCCTGCCAGGGGTCCTGCCAACTCTGTGTCCTGTCCTGTTGGAGGTCCCGCCGACACCAGCCCATGTCATGTTCAGGACCCCGTCTACGCCTGTCCCGTCGGCTCCGGTTCCTGTCCGGCCGATACTGGTTCCTGCTCGTCCTCCGGAGCTGTCCCGTCGGCGCCTTCCTGCCCGGCCTCCGGAGCTGTCCCGTCGGCGCCTTCCTGCCCGGCCTCCGGAGCTGTCCCGTCGGCGCCTTCCTGCCCGGCCTCCGGAGCTGTCCCGTCGGCGCCTTCCTGCCCGTCCTCCGGAGCTGTCCCGTCGGCGCCTTCCTGCCCGTCCTCCGGAGTTGTCCCGTCGGCGCCTTCCTGCCCGTCCTCCGGAGCTGTCTCGTCGCCGCCTTCTTGTTCGCCCTCGAGCCCGGCCTCCTGAGTTCTCCAGCCGCGGTCTTCGCCCTCGGGCTCGGCCTCCTGATTCTTCCAGCCGCTGCCTTCGCCCTCGAGCCCGGTCCCCTGAGAGCCGCTGCCTTTGCTCTCATGCCCGACCCCCTGAGTTCGCCCGCTGTGGCCGTCGCCCCTTTTTGGACTCTGCCTTGCCCCCGGGCCGTCCGCCCGGGACCCCTTTCGGGCCCGTCCTCCGGACCCCCTCCACCCACCCTTTTTGAAGTGTTAGACTATGTTTTTTGGGACGTCTGGGATCCGTCCCTTGAGGAGGGGGTTATGTCACGATCTGTCTGTTGTGTTTTGTCTTGTCTTTTTCTGGTTTCCTGTTTTGTTTTGAAATGTTTTCCTCGTGTCTTCTCTGTTCCTTCTTCCTGTGTTTGCCTTCCTGTCTTAGTTTCCCTGGTGTGTCTGATTGTTTGATTGTGTTCACCTGTTGCCCTTGTGTTTCTGCCTCCCTTACCCCAGCTGTGTCTCGTCTTGTGATTACCCCTCTCTGTATTTAGTCTTGTCTCTTCCTGTGTTCCCCTGTCGGTTCATTGTTTGTTTCTCCTGTCTCCCACCATGTTGGTCACGGTCAGTTTTCTATAGAACCTATGTGTTTCATGCCATGCTATTGTTCAGCTTTAGAATAAAGCTCGTTTTTGTTTCGAGACCGTTTACCTTTTCTGATAGTCTGCATTTGGGTCCTACCCTTCCACGCATCCTTACACCGTGAGTTTCGCCCCGCCCCTCGCTCCAAGGACCATTTGACCATTTAGTAAGGTAAAAAGCAAAAACGCCTCGCTCTTCCGTTTACTTGTTTAATAAAGAAAAACAAATGGACCGTAGATACACGGATTCTGACCTCATTGTCACTACCCGATTTGCCCCCCTGCCCGATCTGTACTGCGCATGTGCGAGATTTTCCGCCATATTGGACAACTCCGTACGGCAACCCAACTAGGACACTTGACACAGTGGCGTTTGGCAAAGCACACAAAGAAAACTAAAAAAAACGAGAGAGATGAGTTATTGTTATTACAACGTGACTTCACTATTATTTAACAACTCTTTTTATTGGGTTCTTTTATTTGGGGTTAAGTACATTGTCAGAATAAGTGAGAAATGGATTTAACTTCTGTTAGACAGCTATCATACTGAATAAATATTTACTGTGAATGTATGCAAAAATGTATGGCATATAGCTGTCTAACAGAAGTTAAATCCATTTCTCACTTATTCTGACAATGTACTTAACCCCAAATAAAAGAACCCAATAAAAAGAGTTGTTAATAGTGAAGTCACGTTGTAATAACAATAACTCATCTCTCTCTGAGTGTTCTTTTTCTGCTTTGCCAAAAGCCACTGTGTCAAGTGTCCTATTAGAGTTGCCGTATGAAGTTGTCCAATATGGTGGACCATCTCGCACATGCGCAGTGCAGATCGGGCAGGGGGACAGATCGGGTAGTGACACTCATCTGCGCTCTTATTTTGTAAGGTAACTTCCGGTACCAGAATATGAAAAAACTGTAGTTTTTTTGTTTCTGTTTTTCTAGTGATTTTATTTTTTGTTTTGAGAAGTAGAAAATGAAAATCATCCCGTTTTTTAAGTTTATTAAATCCCTTTTTGACCATGATAAAGAAAAACGCCTTGTATTTCAATTTTGGTTTTTCAATTTTAAAACGAAATTAAATATCCAGTAGTTTTTTGTTTTTGAATATCCATTTGTGAAAAGAAAATCCAATGACCAAAACATACACTGACCATGGAGTTCTCTTATTTCCCCTCCACAGACCCTGGTGACTCAGTTTGGCGGTGTGGAGGCGTTGATCCACGCCGTGCTGCGTGCCGGGGAGAAGGAGGATGTTGCTGAGCCGGCCGTCTGTGCCCTGCGCCACCTCACCTCCCGCCACCAGGACGCAGAGCTGGCCCAGAATGCTGTGCGGCTGCACTACGGCATCCCAGCGGTCGTGAAGCTGCTGGGGCAGCCGCACTACTGGCCGGTGGTGAAGGTGAGGGGGGGCACAGTGTCAGTTGGTAAAAAGCAATGGGAATGACAATTAGATTTAAACTAAGCCCCAAATTGCTCCTGAAGGCATGTCTACAGGGTTGAGGTGTACGTGAGTCGCTTTGGATAAAACTGTCAGCTAAATTACGTTTAATAGTAATAATAACAATAACGAATTCAGCCGCTGGTTCACTGTTTCCAAAGAGAGACTCAGCTGGTTGTTCCACAGTAGAGAAGAGGTACAGAGACTGAGGACTGACAGTAGCTCGGCTCTCTGTAATTAACAAAACCCTAAAAGTGAGTTCATGTACTTACTTACTTACTTACTTGGACATGGAAATGGACTAACTGCTGACAATATAGCTGGTTCTGGTTCTTCACTATGGAGCCTGGAGCGTGCCAACTGCACGTTTGAACAGAGTGGTGCAGGCATGAGTTCTAAGACCCAGAAATGAGTTAGCGGTTACCACTTCCTGTACCCTCATATGGAAGTCAATATATTTTGTATTGTTTTATTCGTACGTTTTGTAAGATAATAGCTGTGGTCAAAGGTAGAAACCAGCTCGAGTGCGCTAGAATTTGAAAGTACGCAGCCGGAAAAAATCTGCCCCTTCCTTCAGACTTCCCTACAGAGCCCCTCCTCCAACACACACGAACATGACCAATGAGGGCACGAGATAAGTTTGTGCACGAGATGGAAGGCTGACAGGCAGGTAGGCCATCCAATTATTTTAGCCGGTTTATTGTCAAAGCATTTAATTTATTCATTGCTATCGGGATGTTAAGAGCATTCCATGGAATATAACAAAAAGTATTTCTGAAGTGAATTACCTACCCTACCTTTCACATAAGATGAAGAGATTTATATGTTTTGTGATAAAACATAAAATACGTCAGTAAATACCCCCAATGTCTGAAGCTTCTACAGCAGGCATGGGCAAACTAAGGCCCCGGGCCATATACGGCCCGCTGGGCTTTTTAATCCGGCCCGCCGAATATTGGTACAAAATTGTCCAAATTATAGTAAAGAGCGCATTCATAGTGCCTTTTTCCTGCAATACCCGGCATTTCAGTCGATCCCACTAGATGGCGCACTCGAGACACAATTGACCTTTGCTGGAGTCTGGTCTATTCAGCTGGCCCCACTTGGCAACCAGGCAAGATCAAAGAACCAAATAGGTCACGCTTACGTCGGAGGGGGGCGAGATTAACCTGAGCCATAACAGTTCATGGTGAGTACGGCAAATACAAGTTGTAACTAGTGTTAATTTCGTCAGCTATTTTTTTATTTAGTTTTAGTCTTAGTCCTGTGTTAAATTTCCTTTTTAGTTTTAGTCATATTTAGTCACCTTCATCCTGTTTTATTTAGTCAAGTTTTAGTCGACTAAAAGTCTGAGCATTTTAGTCTTATTTTAATCGACTAAAACAGTAACTATTTTAGTCAAGATTTAGTCGACTAAACGTCTGAGCATTTTAGTCTTATTTTAGTCAAAGAAAACTAATTATTTTAGTCTACTTTTTGTCAATGAAAACTGTTGAGTCTTTTTTAGTCATCAGATTATATTGAACATTTCAGTCAAACTAGTCTAGCCAAAACCAATAATTTGTCATTTTAGTCAAACTTATTTCACAATAAGATTATATCTTGTCCTTATTTGATGAAAAACACAGGTTGAATGATTAAGAATGCAGCTTTGCAGAGAGTATCTGGTCAGGTTTGTGGTGTTTTTACCAGCTGTGTTATGGCCACATTGCTTCCCTTCTGATAAAACTATGCATTCGCTTTTTTTCTCCGCCTCATTGTAGCGAAAATGGGCCCAAATATCACATTAGGCTCGTCTCAATACCCCTCCTCGACTCCCCTCCTCGACTCCTCTCTTCCCCTCCTCCGGGACTTGACCCGGAAATCGATCAAGACACGCCATGTTGAAGGACGTCCCAATAGCTGAAATGCACACGGAGGAGTCGAGGAGGGGTAAGGGAGGAGGGGTGCGGGAGGAGACAAAAGGGAGGATACACGAGAGCAGACTACGCGGAAGTGTTTTCACTACTCGCGTATAAAAGCCCCGCCCCCACCTTCACAGCTGATCGATTTCAAGAGAGGAAAACGGAGAACTGGAAGAATGAGTGGAAAAGCGTCACATAAATGTATAAGTGCTCACAGCTCCGTGGGAATTATTATGTGCAATTCATTTCTTAAGGTTATACTAACAATTTAAGTCATGTTTAATGATCTTGAACGTCACTAAAACATAGCTATTAAGAAAGCTATTTCATAAATGGCTAGATAAATAACAATTGTTTGTTTTGTTTTGTGTTAAAATATTGAGTAGTTAAATTATTTAAAATGCACAGTCCTGAATGTGGGTTTGTGGTGAATGTGGGGATCGACAGGACACACATGTTCAGAGTAAAGGCTTTCACATTATTATAATTATAATTTTATTGAAATGTACATTTGACACCAAAACGGAACACAAAAGCAGGACCAACCATCATACATTGAATTCCTTGACTAACAAGAGAAAGATTCATCATTTAAATACATATTTAACAACAAATGGGCCGGTTCTAAAGGTTATTCAGTTAAGCCCGATGAGAGGGGATACAGCTGTGCACATGTCATCATTAACAGACGTCGTTTAAGACTGACGTTTGAGTGAACGAGGACATCCCAATTAATACCTGAGGACTCCTCTGTCCTCGCGTCACCTCCTCGTGTCTCTCGCTCGCATCTTACGGAGGCGGAGCTAAGACGCAAGGAAGGGACGCGAGTGAGGGAAAGGAGGAGTCGAGGAGGGGTATTGAGACGAGGCTATTGTTTCTTTCTCCCAAGCAGTGGTGGCTTTAGACTTTTTCGTTGTCAGTCATTTTGACGGACAGGATCGCAACATTTCCGTCATAATCCATTATTACCCGTCGAGTGCACAATGTATCACTCACTCGCGCTGACGGGGGGCGTTAACCGAATACCCCCCCGCTCCTGCTCCCAAGCCCTGTTGTTGCCATTTTATTTTCTGTTAAATAAGGTTAGTTAGACCATGAGTTAGACCCGAGTCTTCCTGACAGTTCATATTGTGCCGGTGCCCGGTGTAATTCAAATGTACCGCCGTCTGTGTGCGGCACAGACACACAGCTGCTGTCCAGCCGTAGCACCGGAAATTGAACTGCTGGGAGAAAAACTGACTATCAGAGATGTAACGTTATCTTTGATAATATTTCGTCTCCTCATTTTTCGTCAACGAAAGTAAAGAGAGATTTTGGCATAGTTTTTATTTAGTAAACTACATTTTCGTCTCGTCACTTTTCGTCAACGATATTGCATGATGATTTCGTTACAGTTATTGTTTACTGCCGTCGGTGCCGTCTCGTCATCGTCTCGTTTTTGTCATGGAAAAAAAGGTCGTTGACGAACATATTTCGTCATAGTTTTAGTCAACGAAATTAACACTAGTTGTAACAAGCAGCAGCGCTGAGCAAACCACACACTTTATAAAGTCAGGCAACACTAACCGGGCTTCGTGTGATTCTGTTTATTTGTACCTTACTTTGACCATCCGTTCGCTGTTATTGATCATTGTGGAGAGCAGGCAGACGTTTTGTTTTGTATTATAGCAGCTATCGGATGGAATCAATACAAGGGCTACATGTGGCTATCACAAGTAAAATCATAACGAAAACTACGCCGGTAAAATATGCATTTAGAAAACGGCTTATGCCACAATATGATAGCAACAAGTAGTCAAGATAGTCTGATTAGCTTCGGTTACTATGCTAACATCACCTGTAGAATGCCAGAGACACTTTCATAACAGCGTTGTGATGCCAAACAGCTTTCAGACTAAAACACATTCACTGATGGGGATGGGGGATATGTAGTGAATACTTTACAGCGGCCGCTGCCGTGAGTTAACGGGAGAATAACCTCCGGTAGACGAGCAGCACTGCAGCAGGCAGTAATGCAGCTGAACCACATTAATAAACAATGCACCACGGCACTCTGGAGAAAATGATAAGGTTGGAGAAGTAGTTCTTTAATTGAATATGGCTTCGTATGATTAAAAACTACCCGACGCAGTTCTCTATTGATGTTGTTGTAAGCGGTGTTTCGGAGAAAATCAGCGACGTAAAACGCTGTGTGGGTCATAAGAAGGCACGTAAACGGTTACGTCATGACGCAAACGATGACGCAATGACGCAATAATTCACCTTTGAACCGGCATCTGTAACAATGAGTGGACCAAAGAAAAGAAAAGTCGACAATGAGTGCTGAGTGTTTAATGAGGAGTGGACAGCTAAATATTTTTTCACCGATCTGCTACTTGCCCGGCCCGTCTGTCAAATTTTAAAACTCATAGTGGCCCCCGAGCAGAACATTTTGCCCACCCCTGTTCTACAGTATGTGTCATGGAAACAGCAGCTTCATGCTCAACAAAACGTTTTTTATGAACAGTCTACAAAAACACGTTATTAATGGATCGAACTATTCTAGCCAGTTGTAATTATAATGAGTTTACAAACCCAAGAAAACTACAGTAATAACATTTGCAACACAATGTACAGTAATGAATGCTTCTGACACATCAGCTGTCTTTTTACACACATCTGCAACAGATTAACTATTATATTAATCAATGTACATAGCTATCTTTACTGGTCATGTGACAGCTGACATTTCATTCTGTTGTAGGTGTGTCAGTGCAACCTAAAGTCTGTTTTCTTCCATCTTAAGACGAAACATTATTGATTGGTCTGTAAGGTGCTGACTAAGTGTGCTAAATTGAGCAATAAATTCAACTTTTGTTTACAAACATGATAAACATTACAAAACGTAAAAATAACAAACCACAAGGGTCTTGCACAAAGTTGTGCGGCAATCCATCCAAAATATATTGAGATATTTACCAGGATGAGTACAGATGTTCACCTGCTGGTGGCGCTGCAGGAGAAGTTAGGGGATCATGAATAAAACTAGGATTGAAAATGACCATGAATGACATTCCG